ATATATTGGATGCAGATACAAGTGCGTATGTGGTGTTTCTAATGAAAATGGATTTAATGTTTAGATACAATAGGTTTGAGCTAGAATATGTACATTTCAGGCCTTTGTCAAAGCACAGAAGTCAAAGTCGTACTTCAAGAGGTTTCATGTCAAGTATATGAGAAGGAGAAGAATGCCATGAGCTTGCTATTTTAGATTTTACTGAATTAAATTTGATAGATATCTGATTTGATATTATGGATATAATACTTATTGATCTTTGTTTTTTCCAATATGCAGAGGGGAAGACTGATTACAGGGCAAGGATTCTCCAAATTAACCAAGATAAGAACAAGTACAACACTCCCAAGTATCGATTTGTTGTCTGATTTACCAACAAGGATATTATTGCACAAATTGTATCAGCAAATATTGCTGGATATTTGGTTCTTACTACGACTTATGCCCACGAGTTGCCTCACTGTGGACTTGAAGTAGGTCTTACCAATTTGCTGCAGGTATTGCAATGGTGTCTTTCACCCTCCATCTCCCTTTCACTCTGCACCTCAGCTACAAACCAACTTCTCCCTTCCCTTTTGTGCAAATGTATGTTGTAAATTTATTTTTGCTGCTTTCTTGATGTGGTGTTAATTACTATCTCTTGACCAGCTTACTGTTCTGGGCTTCTTTTGGCTTGTCGTGTCTTGAAAAAGCTTGAGATGGATGACGAGTACGAAGGCAATTTCGAGGTACCATAGATGCATTGTACCACTCCAATATTTCATTATAATTCTTCTGCATGAACCAGTTCTATTGAGAGTTGAGACCTTTGTGTTGTCAGGCAACTGCAGAAGATTACTCAGTTGAACCAGCAGAGAGCAGAAGGCCCTTTCGCACACTTTTTGATGTATGTCTTATCTGAACAACAACTGGAAATCGTGTTTTTGGTGCTCTTAAGGTATATATTCTCCAACTTATATTCTCGTATATAAAATCACATCTCCTTGCAATTTGTGTGATACTTATTCTTTGCTTCAGTGGGAAGTTTCGCTGTTATTTTGCCAAATGCGTATACATTATTCTTATAATAATAGTCTGTCATGTCGCATATCTTTTGAATGACAGTCTTCCTGGTCACATATTGATTCATAGCTATGGAGTCATGCATATTTATTAATTCGATTACAATGAACAGAAAATGGCATCATTCTAAAGCCCTGTTTGAGCCCCATTTTTGGGCCAAAATGCATTTTAGAATGGTATTTTGTTGGAGAATGTATGGTTAAAAAATAAAGAAAAGTTTTGGGTTTGCATGTAAAATTATTTTAGGGGAGAATGTGTGATTGAAAATGAGTTTTGAAAAAATGTGGGCCAAACAGTGCGTAAATAAATGTTCCAACACTATACAAAATGTATAGTTCCTTGTCAGTAGTAGTGCTATTAGATTACATCTTATGATGCTTGAGTTATCTGTAGTTGACTTCACACAACATGAATATTCGCGCTTGATCTTCTCAGCTTGTTTTGCGTTTGAGATTTTTGCTGAATTCCTATCAATGGTTCTGAAACATAGAATTCCTTTAATATGCCTTGTATCCTATGTATAAGTTTCACAATAGCTTGCTTTGTAACTTCTGGATTTTGCATGTTATGTTTTGGGAAGATAAAACACGAATTATGTCATGAACCTTCTAGAGTACTGAATTACATCACTGTTTGTTTTCCAACTTTTGAGTAATGCTGAAATCTGAAGTTAAAAGGGTCAAATGGGTTGCAATAAAATATAGGTGGCAGTAGATTCATAGAAAAGTGGATTCCAATTGTTGTCATGGTTTGCCCCAAGAAAATTTCCAGAGCAGGTACTTCTATTTGTTTCATGCAGCCATTGCTACGGTAATTTCTGACAGTTGCCCTTCTTATTTGTTTCTTGACTCCAGTATGAGAATTCATTTATCAATCCTTTAAGGTTGACTACTTTTCATTTGATTGAATACTTTGTTAGTTGCCGGCTGAATCTGAATTTATAAGAGTTTCATACATTTGTTTCTTACCTTCAGTTGAAGCTGTTACATAACATTTTTAATACCTGAGGATTTCCAACTGGTTCTTATTGTTTACCTGATTCATGTAGCCTCATAACTATGTGAAATGTCATCTGTTATTCTAAGCCTAAATGGCTAAGCCCGTGATGCATTTTTTCTTTTTCATTCTGCTTAATTTTGATCTCTATATGTTACGCGATTAATTTGTTATGTCTGTCTGCACTTGTGTTTATGCATATCTTTTCACTGTACCGTTTTGGTACTAATGGCAGGGAGCACTAGATGGTGGATTAGATATTCCTCACAGCGATAGAGGGATTTGCTGGTTTCTCTAAGGAGTCTAAGCAGCTTGATGCTGAGGTTCATCGGAAGTACATTTATGGTGGCCATGTTGCTGCATATATGTCGGTAATGTTCATAAATTCGAACTTCTGCCACTGTATAAACAGAGAGAGAACATAACTTAAGAGTGAAAGGATAATGACTTCGCCTTACTTGTATATTGTGTCAAACATTTCTAGACTTTAATGGAAGATGAACCAGAAAAGTGTCAATCACACTTCAGTGAATATATCAAGAAAGGACTTGAGGCAGATGGCCTTGAGGAGATGTACAAGAAAGTTCATGCTGCCATCCATGCGGATCCAACTTGTAAGCAATCAGAGAAACAGCCACCTAAGGAACACGAGGTGAGGAAACATTTTTAACCTGCATTTAAGTCATAATAAGATTGTGAAACACATTCATTTTTTCACTAAGAGCATGTTTAGGAATGCTTTTTCAACCTTAAAAGTTAGTCAAACATCATTTTCATCCACACATTCTTTAGGATACATTGGTTATAATATATGAAAAGCTTTACCAAACATACTCTTAAGTCGTGGATATATTGTTCTAGTTTCAAATGCTTGCAATGACGATGTTGGCTTTACATATATCTGATTGTATTAAAAATTTTGTTACCGGGTTTTTTCTTGTTTGGATTTTTTTTCTGGCTCAAGAGACTCTACGTTTTCATATGTATTAAGATGCTCTAGACGCTAGTGTCCCAGTACTTTTTACTGCAGATAATTCCAATTATGGACTTGGCTTTACATAATTGTGAGCGTATTCATATATTCTCTCCCTGGTTTATTCTTGTTTGAATTTCTTATGGCTACAGTTAAAAATCACATTCTCAGTTTTATTCAGATGCTCAATTTTTCCTGTACTTTCTACTATGCATTTAACCAAAAATATGATTTTGCATAAGCTGTCTCATTTTTTTGGGTAATAAATAGCAGTTGGCTGGTTTATTGAAAGTAAATCACTCTCTTGCATGCATTCTTGGAGATGTTATTCTGGATGCTTGTTTAATCTTGGATTCTGTTTTGTGCTCAGGTACAACATGAAGAAGCTCACTTATGAAGAGAGGAAGGCCAAGTTGATCAAGCGCTTGAATGCTATTAATGCTGCAGCAGGGGCTGATGATGATGAGGCGATGACTGAAAGTAACCTTGTTAAAATTGAGCTAGTTTTGTCTTCAATTGTTTCCCTAGTACACTCACTGTTTATCAGAGTTTTATCTAGAAAACTGGTTGTACTATTTATCAATTTTGAAGCTTTGAGAGGTCTTTTTGTCAAACAAGTGGTAGTTAGATATCATTTGACATTAATGCAAATTTTGTCGGTGTGTTGTCCCTATATAAGCAGCATTGGTTCGTGGTTTCTCGAAGTTGGGTTGATAGTGTCTACCTCTTGTTGTGAATGCACTTGTGGAATGTGCCATGAAAGCTAATAAGCTAGGAGATTGGAAAAGGTCTTTCAAGAACCAAACGAATAGGCAAGAAATAGATAATGGAGAACTGGCTCTAACTTGCAT